ACAATGTGGTACATCTCTTTTAGGGTTTAGGGTTTAGGGATTAAGGTTTTGGCGCCACCACAGGAGCCCTAGGATTGGGATCATATACCCCATACTACCACAAACCCTATTGGGGTGCATGGACCACCACCCTTGTTGGGTTCACGTGGTCTGCAAGGTTGACCATAAGAAGGCACTTTGCGCACATGCGCTGTGAGAGTGCGCGCAGCACGACAGCTTGATGGAACAAAGCAATGGCAGCACCATGAGCTCGCTTGGCGCGAGCTCCGGAAGCCACACAGCTCGAAGCACCGTTATGAAAGAAGCACAACCCTGAAGGATGTTCTCGGAAAGCGCTTGAACCATGAGGTCTCCGACCGCGCGACATTGCGTCACAACGCTATCTTGCGTTGTCTGCCAGTTCGTGCTGCCCAGAGGCGTGAAGCTTGCATTGTGCTAGTTATTCCTGCTGCTGTGCGTGAAGGAGCCCATGCCCTGTAGTGTGAAAGTCATCCGTTATACTCGCGTTTCAGTCTTTGATCTTCTGCCTGTGGGCTTTCCTCGCAGAAGCATTACTCGGCACTTTTTCGGGGAAATTCGTGGAAGAAACCTGCCTCATCTATCCAACCTCCTTTGCACAAGCCACCGTCGTAGATACCATTGTTTTCCTGCACCAGCTTTCCTCCCCGGAACTGGGCATGCGTTGGGGTGTAGGTTTCAGGTTTCTTAATTTCTTCGTGTCAGCTGTTGCCACATTTGCCTAATCTGCACCCGGACACCGGTTCAACTACTAGCAATGCGGGATGTTCAGGTCTCTGGGAAAGCATCCAAAATCACCACGCAAGAAATTGTATGTACCAAGCAAATAGCAACGTATGGGGAGGTTCATGAACCTGACACGTCACGTGGTTCCGTTCACTGCAGTGATGTCACATCAAACCCTAAACCCTACAGTAAACTCTAAACCCTACACCCCACACACTACACTCTAAACCCTAAGACCTAAACCCAACCCCAAAACTTACAACCTCTGCACCTGCATTCCATTTCAAGGTTTGGGCGTGGGTTACTCTTTGCTTAAGCACCCCTATATTGCCCTGAAAAGGAGGAATGTTTTCTAACTTTGGGGTGAGGGCTTCTTAAGCCAATCGTAGTGGGTGAGCCCGACGCCCATAAACCCCTGAGCCCTGCGCCCTTGCCCGAATGCGGCGCACCCAGAATCTACCCCCCCTTCCCTAAACCCTACACCCTACACCCTAAACCCTAAACCCTAAACCCTAAACCCTAAACCCTAAACCCTAAACCCTAAACCCTAAACCGTAAACCCTAAACCCTAAACCCCTTTCCCCGAGGAGTTGGACCAAGAGGGGCAAGGGCGACAGCTGAACGTCGAAACGGTGGAGGCCTTTGGCGGTCAGGAAAGCTGAGAACATTGGGTTGAGGCTTAGGGTTTAGGGTTTGGGGCTCTAGGTTTAAGGCTTAGGGCTTTAGGGATTAGGGTTTGGGGTTTGCAGGTGTGTAACAGTTGGTTAAGGTGTCGGGCTACAGTAGCTAGTAAGGGCGGGGCAGTATGAAGGGCCTAAACCCTAAACCCTAAACCCTAAACCCTAAACCCTAAACCCTAAACCCTAAACCCTAAACCCTAAACCCTAAACCCTAAACCCTAAACCCTAAACCCTAAACCCTAAGCCCTGCAAAGCCCTAAGCCATACATGGGGTTTGATCGACGCATCTTATTCTCTGGCGAGTTCATCTTTCCTTTTCAACCTTGAATTGGGCACATCAAGGATGGTGGTGTGGGTTGAGGGTTTAGGGTTTAGGGTTTAGGGTTTGGGGTTTGGGGTTTAGGGTTTGGGGGTTTAGGGGTTTAGGGGTTTTGGGGTTTGCGGCGTTTAGGGGTTTAGGGGTTTAGGGGCGTAGGGGTTTATGGCTGTCAACTCTGCCCCAACATGCGCTCGCGCGAAGTGGCGTGGAACCAGTTTTGCTGGCTTTGCCAAGTTTTCTATCAAAAGAAATGATTCGGGATCTTCCCCTTATGCTACCTTGGGGACCAAATGAACCCTAAAATTGGGGTCCTAGAAGCTACACTACTATAATTCCTATTAAGGTACATGAACCATAAACCCTTTTAGGGTTCATTTCGTCCCCAAGGTAACGGTTCTTACGAGGGATTATGATAACATCGACTGTTAGTATAAGGGGTCCGGCATCCATCCAATTGTTTGCAGCTGCACCTGGAGCATGCTGCCTGGGTGCCGGTGCGCTTTCCGAGATGGCAGCTGCCTGCTTCTGCCCTAGGGTTTAGGGTTTAGGGTTTAGGGTTTAGGGTTTAGGGTTTAGGGTTTAGGGTTTAGGGTTTAGGGTTTAGGGTTGCTTGCGTAGACGTTGAAGGCCCCCCCCAAACCTTTAGAAGCCGGAAGCTCGAAAGCTGGAAGGCCCAGCCCTCTAGTTTGAAGCCTGAGCCCTTCAAACGCTTGAGCCTGCAAACCCTGAACCCTAAACCCTAAGCCCGAAACCCTAAACCCTAAATCCTAAAGCCCTAAGCCCTAACCCCTCAACCCTCAACCCTCAACCCTCAACCCTCAACCCTCAACCCTAAACCCTAAGCCCTAAACCCTAGCCCCTGGCCCCCTGTCCTCCGTCCCCTAGCCCCTGGCCCCCAGCCCCAACCCAGCTCCTCCGGCCAGCGCGTGCTGATGGCCAAGCTCTCCACGAAAGCCAAGCTGGCCGGGCGGCGCAGTTGGGGCGGCGCAGTTGGGTTGGCTCGCTTTGGCCACACGGGGACCCGCTTAGGGTCTAGGGTTTCGGGTTTAGCGTTTAGGGCTTAGGGTTTAGGGCTTAGGGCTTCGGTTTTAGGGCTTAGGGTTGGGTTTAGGGTTCAACTAGGGTGAAGGGGGTCTAGCTTCGGGTCGTTGTCTCAGTGATGTAGGGCCTCAAAATGTTCAAGCTTATAGGAGGTCAGGACATATGCCTTCTGCAGATATATATATATATATAGACACACACATTGTAATATACTTCTCTCTCTTTCTCTATATGTATATATAGATATATATATAGTATGCATACAACAGGTCCAAAACCAATACATAACCTAGTAAACCCAGAAAATCCAGACAACAGAGTAAACCCTTAACCCTAAAAAGACAACCCTTAAGCGCCTCATCGTCCAGCTGTCTGCGATTGTCACCGATGACCTCCCTAGTTGCAACCTGCATGCCGCCGGTCGTATCAAGTGCATTCTGCAGCGTGTTTGTGGCCCTGAACCGAAAACCTTGTTTTGGGTTTGGGGTTTAAGGTTTAGGTGTACTGATAAGTAAAAAGTAGCCTAAACAAGGTTCTACGGTACAGTTCCCATACTTATAACCCTGCTTGTAGGTACCCATGAACCTCCAAGCAATCCACGGAGGCGGAGAAGCTGAAATACCTCTGGGAGTGCTCGAGGACGTGTGAGGAGGCCTACATGCTCAAACTACTGTTTTCCTTTTCTTCGTAGTCTGCTTATTCTTATTCTTCTCAGTACTCTGATTTTTCTTACCGTCCCGAGTAAGCTTGGCTATCTACGGTCAGCATCGATTACATGACACCGCCTGTACTAGGCTTCACATGGGCGTGCCATAAACTTCCTTTTTGCCCTAGGACAGCGGCCGTTGCAATCTACTTGGCTTCGCTCTGGTTTCTCTGGATCGGGTAAAGCTCCTCAGCCGAAGTCGCCAAAATCTTTTAACACTCTGCGCCCTAAACCCTAAACCCTCAACCAGGGATGCAGTTGAACCCCGAAACCTAAAACATTGGGGGGAAGGTCCTAGGACCTACCCTAAGGGTAGCCATTTAGGGTAGGGTTCCAGACCCTAAACCCTAAACCTAAATCCTAACCCTTAAGAAGCCCTTCTTCGTGGGCGTGCAGCAGACCACCTCCTCATAGCGCAGGTGAGGCGCGATGGCCGATTTCCGACACCTGTGCTCCAGCAGCTTCCAAAGGCACAGCGGCGTTTGAGCTCGCATTGACACAAGCTCAGCTAACTGCCACCCTTCGGCCCGAATGGTCCTTGAACCGCGGCTTAGGTAGGGTTTAGGGTTTAGGGTTTAGGGTTTAGGGTTTGGGGTTTAGGGTTTAGGGTTTAGGGTTTAGGGTTTAGGGTTTAGGGTTTCGGGTGTAGGGTTTAGGGTTTAGGGTTGCAAGCCCCAAGTCTACCCTTAGAAGCTGGGAGTTTGGTACTCAGAAGTAGGGCTATAAGCACCCTAAATCAGGGTACTACCAATGAACCTCCAAGTCAAAGCTTAAAAAAAGAAACGAAGCCCTCGAAACCCTAAACTTCCCCAAAGGCTCCCTAAACCCTAAACCCTAAACCCTAAACCCTAAACCCTAAACCCTAAACCCTAAACCCTAAGCCCTAAGCCCTAAACCCTAAACCCCAAACCCCAAACCCTAAACCCTAAACCCTAAACCCTAAACCCTAAACCCTAAACCCTCAACCCTCAACCCTCAACCCTAAACCCTAAACCTAAACCCTAAACCCTAAACCCTAAACCCTAAACCCTGAACCCTAAACCCTAAACCTTAAACCCTCAACAATACCCTGGAATCTCAAGGATTCCCCAACCCAGAGTCATCCTCCGAGGCGCGGGCTCAAGAAAAGCCCGGTTGAGGGTTTTGGGGTTTAGGGTTTAGGGTTTTGGGGTTTAGGGTTCAGCCAGGGTTTAGGGTTTGGGGTTTCAGGGTTTCAGGGTTTCAGGGCTTTCGGGTTTTTGGGCTCTGGGGTTTTAGGGGCTTTGTGGTTTGAGGGTTCTTCGGGTTTTAGGGCTTTGGGGGGGGGTTTAGGGGTTTTCGGGTTTTGTGGTTCTTAGGGTTTTGCGGTTTTAGGGTTTGGGTTTTTGGGGTTTTGGAGTTTTGGGACTCCATGGCTGACGCGGGCACCAAGGATTGGGGGCTTCAGTTTTTGGGGTTTTAGGGGCTGTTTGGGGTTTAGGGTTTTGGGTTTAGGTTTAGGGTTTGCGGGCTGTTTGGGGAAGCTTCCTCCATGGCGGCGGCTATACCGACGATGCAGCGAAGAGGTGGGAATCCCCTGTGCTTGGGTCTGTGGCACTTCCTTCGTCGCGGAATCCTTCTGTGATGTACTGTTTAAGGGATGGACGTGGCTTGGAAACTTGTTCCAGCCAGTTTGAGCTTTTGTTGAAACGTTTAACTACGGCATACAGCGCTTGGGAGTTCTTTGTTTTGTCTTTGGGATCACATGGGGCCTTGACGTGCCAGGAAACATGGTTTAGAAGAGAGAGCAAGAGTTAGGCACTTGCTGCGAGTGGGGTCGCTCTCATGTACTCTCCCTAAACCTTCCTTGATGTCTTGCCAGAGGAAGCATGCCGCTGTCCCCTAGACCCATGCTTTCCTTAGAGGAGTGCCTCAGCCCGAACACAAGAAGCTCCCCTTGTAAACCCTTGTCAATCCTCAAACCTGAAAGCCCTGAGCCCCGCCAACTCCCAACCCCCCCCCCCCCACCCCCCAAAAAAAGAACAAAAAACACAAGGGAAAACAAGGAAACAAGACAAACGAAGCAACACAAAAAAACCTCTAAATCCTGAACCCTGCACCCTAAACCCTACACCCTAAACCCCACACCCTAAAACCTAAACCCTAAACCTTAAACCCTGAGCAACCAAAGCTCAGCACCCGCACTTGGAAGGGGATGCCCCGACTGGGCTGCGAGATTGGAACTTGCTGATCCGATCCCGCGGACGGGAACGTGCATGGACCGAGGCTGGGATGTAGGGTGTTTAGGGTTTAGGGTTTAGGGTTTAGGGTTTAGGGTTTAGGGTTTATAGGGCTTAGGGTTTAGGGCCTTGCATTCCCTAAATTCCCTAAGTCCCTTTCCAAACTCAAAAAGAAAGCCCTAAACAACCCTCAAGCCCCAAGCCTCAACATTCCAAACATGGAGCTCTGGCCTTAACATTCCAAGCATGCCATCTTGGAGCTCGGCTCGAGGCCCTGGGTATGCTGGACGACCTCCCGGCACAGCGCCTCGAGCCGGACAAGTCCACCTGTTCAATCCTCCTCCGTGTTTGTCCCTGGGCTTGGAAAGGGCTTTGTTCGGGTTTTCGCTTTTTTGTGTTGTTAATTTTTATACTATTAGTATATAGATATGTACATATATAAATATGAGTTATCTGAGTCCACCTGCTCAATACTCCTCCGTGTTTGTCCCTGGTCTTGGAAGGGGCTTTGGGGGGTGTTTTTCTGTTAATTTATTCGGATGATTATTGTATTAGTATTATCATTATTTTAAGGGGCTGCGCCCATGGGCGGGCAGCGCAGGCAGAAGCGCGGGGCGAGCAGATCCGTCACAGGGTTCGGGTTTCTCTAAGCGTTTGAGGCCCCTAAACTCCCTTGAAGTTTCTAAGCATTTTGAGGCTCCTAAACCCCCTTAAAATCTCTAAGCGTTTGAGGCTCCTGAACTCCCTTACAGTTTCTAAGCATTTTCAGGCCCCTAAACTCCCTTCAAATCTCTAAGCGTTTGAGGCTCCTAGACTCTAAGCACTTTACAAGGTCCCGAAGCTCCCTTTTTCCTAGCCCCGACCTTAGACACGTCGCTTATGCCCGCTTTTTGGGGGCGTCATGCTCCTGCCATGATGCGGCCCCGGATTCCCGCCGCCTGATGCTCCTGATGCGCGCCTGGGGGTCCCGGGCTGGACCCGCTGATGCTCATGATGCGCGCCCTCTGGGGGCCTCCGTGGCGACGCAAAAAACCACGAAAAAAAAAAAAAAAACCGTTCACCGGCGGCACGCGGGGGTCGGCGGCACTGGCGTCCGGCCCAATTCTGCTTCGCAGAAGGCCGCAGGCTAGCAAGGCTATTCCCGGGACGACCCGGGTTAAAAGGTCCGCCAATGCTCGGTCCTTGGGGACCTCGCGCTGCCCGATTTAATGGCTACCGCCAGTGCCGCCGACCCCCAAAAGGGCCAGTGACGTGGGCAGCATTGGCGGCGATCTCCAGAGCAGGCCTGCCTGAGCTTTTTGGAGCGTTCAAGGTCTAGCTGGAGCTTCGGCTCTTGGTTGTGGTCGCTCACACCGCAGCTTCGAGCCGGGTATAGTGGCCGAACAGACCGCTGCCCATAGACATGCGGATACATGTTAATTACTGTCGTTGCAGGTGACGTCGTCGCGGCGCAGTCGGCCACTGCACGCTATTCGTAGAGCCCTAACAACTCGGCCTAGGGCCGATGGCCCCTCGGGGCATAGGGTCATGGGACTATGGGGTCCGCGGATTAATTAGGCGCCCCAAAAAAGGCATACCACTGTGTCAGGGGCATTGGGGGTTGGGAGCCATGGGCGGGGTGGGCGGAGCCGACGGGGCATGGGGCCCTGGGACCATTGACCCTGAGGCCAGGAGCTATGGGACCATGAACCCAGAACCATGGGTCCATCGGATGCCGAACTTTTGCCGAGAGCGGTGCGGCGGCGGCGGTGCGGTGGCGAGGTGGCGTGTGGAGGAGATGCCGAACTTTTGCCGAGAGTGGTGCGGTGCGGCGGTGGCGCGGTGGCGTGTTGGGGGGGATGCCGAACTTTTGCCGAGAGCGGCACGGTGCGGCGGTGCGATGCGGTGGCGGTGCGGTGCGGTGGCGGCGCGGTGCGGTGGCGGTGCGCGGCAATGCGATGCGAAAACTTTAAACTGATGATCAAAAACCAGTGACTTTTGCCGTGGCTGTAACCGATTTTCTTTAGATTGCCCTGCAGCCCTATAACCCCTTGTGTCCCCCGTAGGAGTGCCTGCCAAGTGCCCCCGCATTAAGCCCTTAAGCCCTACCCCCTTTCCGAGAAGGCCCTAACCTTAATACATGTCCGCACCGCTCCATGGTTCAAGTAAGCGGTACGGCAGCAGGGCAACATGTCAACATGACAGCATGGCAGCATGTAGCACCACCACGGCACCACAGCGCCACAGCACTACAGCGCCACAGCACCACAGCACCATGGACACCACATGCGACAGACCGCAGACAGTAGCAGACATGCGTAGGCACATTTGGCACACACTTAAGCTCTAGGAGCCTTGTAGCCATGGACGACGTAGGGGGGGAAACTGACGTCGCAATGGCTCTCTTTAAAGGATGGGCTATGGGGATGCTGCTGTTGCTTCTGCTGCTAGCGTAGGACACTATCGCCAGGCAGCAGCGGTTCCTCATCGTCGGAAAGGGCACCGGCGCCCGTGGAGGAGGACCAGGAGGAGGAGGCACCACAGAGGAGGAGGAGGAGGAGGAGGAGGAGGAGGAGGAGGAGGAGGAGGAGGAGGGGGCGGAGGAGGAGGAGGAGAAAAACAGACGAGAGGTTTTTGGTTTTGGAGGAGGAAGCTGCCCGTGAAAGCCCCGCGGAGCGGGTGGAGGAGGGGCGGAGGAGGGTGTGCGGGGCTCGGAGGAGGCCGCTGGGCGGAGGAGGCTCCAAGGAGCGTGTGGGGCGCAGAGGCGGAGAATCGTGGCCAGTACCCCTAGGGGGGAAGCCAACCAGGACCCCCCCAACTCCACCGTGTGGTCACACATAGTGCGGACACGGCGCGTCTCGTACACCGGGCACCGGCAGACCTCCGCGACGCGGCCGAAACACTCCGCCAGGAACATGTTGTGGAGTTTTCGCTGGAAGACCAGTGTTTTTGTGCGCATGGGGTCGTCGCGGAGGGCCCGGCAGGCGCCCAGCCAGCCCGCCCGCGCACCATGCTCTCGTGGTTGTACGTGAGAGCGGACCACATTTGCTGGGCCATGTGCTTCAGGTGATGGAAGAAGGGCACCAGGTCCGACTGCCAGTCGCGGGGCAGCAGCCAGCCCACGACCTCGGCCAGCACGCAGGGGCAGCTCTCTTTTAGGCAGAAGTGTCCAAACCCCCCCGCAACACAGCTGAGAGGATCGAGGATCTGTGTTTGAGGAAGGTGGTTCCAGCACGTGAGAGCTGAAACTGCACTCTGATGCATTTTAGCGTCGAAACGTCCTAGAACCACCTTCCTCGAACACAGATCCTCGATCCTCTCAGCTGTGTTGTGGGGGGGTTTGGACACTTCTGCCTAAGAGAGAGGTGTGCTTTTGCTCCATGATGCTTTCGTGATGCGACAAAAATGTTCCGTGATGCTTTCATGATGCGGCAAACATGTTCCGTGATGCTTTCGTGATGCGACAAAAATGCACGCCGCGTAACGCGTTTACACATGCACGCCGCGTGACGCGTTCACATTTGCATGTCGCGTAACGCGAGCACACATGCACGCCGCGTGACGCGTTCATTTGTGCATGCCGCGCAACGCGTTCACTTTTGCATGCTGCGAAACGCGTTGGCGGCAAGGCTGAGAGGAGCCGCAGCCCGAAAAGGGGAGGGCACGATGGCCGTGGAAGATGATGTGGTGCTGCATTCGTATTGGTGCAAATACTATGTGGCGGGGAGACCCTGTTTCGCTGGAAAGGAGTGTGCGTTCTCGCATGATGCAACTGGTGTGAGGTGCATCCAGTTTGCTCAGTCTGGGAAGTGTCGTTATGGTGACAGGTGTGTCTTTGAGCATGGTGATCCGCTGAATGAACAGAGGCCAAGGTCTCCAAGGACGCCCCCAAGGGATGGCCCAAGGAGAAGTTCTGGTGCAAAAGGTGGAGAAAAGGAGATCTCTCCTGAACAGTTCGATGATGGTGAGGAGGATTTTATGGTTTATGACGATGATACCAAAATGACGGAACTGTTGATGGAGGCGATTTCATTTCTGTCCAATGGCAAGTCAGATTTGGCTCGAGCAGGGGCGGACCCACTGTTCAAACTCCTGAAGTTCAATGGAGATGCTGACCAGATGGATAGAGAATGGGTTTCGTGGACCACTGGTATGCTGTCCGTGCTGGAACTTCACGAAGTCGCTCGCGGAGGTGGAAGAATGGGTCAATGACCTGAGGATATGGTACGAGCGAGCCAATTTGGGAGAAGAGAAAGATTCCAAAAGGGGCAAAAAGAGGTCCCTAGAAAGGGAGTCCAGCAAGGATATTCCTGCCGAAAAGGACGTGGTTGAGACTTCGGAGACGGAGGTTGCCGTTGAGGAGGAAGTGAAAAAGGTCAAAAAGAAGAGGAAAGCTGCAGCTATTGAAGATCCTTACACTCTCATGGTTCCAAAGCCGAAGAAGATGCCGGCGATCATTGAGAAAGGTGGATCATCATCCAATGTGGTGGTTTCTGCAGGGGAAAAAGCCTCGAAAATGTGCACAAAGTCAAACGTCGGTGGAAAGACGAAGAAGAAGGAGAAAAGTCAGAGCCCCAAAAAGGACGAGGTGGTAGTGGTGAAAGGTCCTGAGGAAAAGGATCGTTCCTCTGATGTGGATGCGCAAGCGTCTACCACTGTGAATGCAGAGCTGGGTCAATCTTGCCAAGCGATTGAGGACGCAAAGAGAGAAGGATTGGTATCCTCAATTCAAAGGTGCGTGCAGGATCCTGTTCTTACAGTTTCGGACCTAGAGTATATTCTGCTGCAACTTCACCTCAGTATTGCCAACAATCGGAAAAAGAAGTGATTGGATGGTATGGATGAAGGGATGGTTTTTTCTCTGTCTGGAGACAGGTGCGCTGGAACAGCCAATGTGCTGACAATGTGGTGGTTACTATTAAGGGTATGGAAATCCCTGATAGTAGAAGTCAGTAGTTTTTCGCGTAGCGAAGACCACGGTTTGTGGTGAAGAAGGCCGAAGAGTCTTCAATGATAAAGAGGATCATGGTGGAAAAAAGATTCTCTGTGGTTAGTGGGTTTAGCCAATGTGCTATAATTTCGTCCTGGAGGACGTAAAACCATATTGTGCACTTCAAGCAGCTGGCTGCTGCCCTAATGGCAGTTTTTGGCCAAAAGATCTGCACCTCCAATGTGTCCTAGGAAATCCTAGGACAGGGGGAGTGCGGAGCTGCAGCTGGTATTGTAGAAAGGAGTTAGTGTTGGGTGTTGGAAGGGTCAACGTACCCGGAAATCTTGTTTGCCTCAAGATGGCCGAGAGCCGTCAGCTTTTGTTGAAAAAGTACGTACGCTTGGGGCTGGGTTTAACGGGTTGGAGGAGTCCCGTCCCTTCTCCCTTATCCTGTCCCCTTAGGGTCGGGTGTTCTTGTTTCTGGTTCGATCTGGGAAATCTATATAGGCGACTGTTGAGGGTTGGTTTCTTTCCCTGTTCCCTTTCGGTTGCCCCCGTACCCTAAACCCTAAACCCTAAACCCTAAACCCTAAACCCTAAACCCTAAACCCTAAACCCTAAACCCTAAACCTTACTAGTAGGACCCAAATCCTAATATTGATCACCGCCCCCACACCCATGTCCAGGTTCGGAAGCGAGCCGATGGCAAGCGTCGATTCAGCTGCTGTCCCTGGGATCCCAAGATCTCTCAAGGGGTTTAGGGTTTAGGGTTTAGGGTTTAACACAAAACCCTAAAGATGGAATGAAGCCCTAAGCACCAACGCCTCTTTTGCTAAGTCGCATGGTTACCACAATCGGATCATTCTCATGGCAGTTAACATTATTCTGAATACCGCTTTCTGCCATTGATGCTGATATGATGATTTGCTGTGCAACCCTAAACAGTAAAGCCCTAAACCCTAAACCCTAAACCCTAAACCCTAAACCCCAAACCCTAAACCCTAAACCCTCAGAAAATGCTCCCGAGGTCGGAGTGGGCAGACTCTCATCGGGAGCTCGACGCCCCGTGGCTCCTAAGGGCAAGGCTGGGCGTGTAGCAATCTCTGCACTGTTCAGGGATCCTAGGACCCTAAACCCTAAACCCTAAATCCTAAACCCTAAACCGTTAACCCTAAACCCTAAACCCTAAACCCTAAACCCTAAACCCTAAACTGTAGGTCCCAAACCCTCCAGACCTTGCGATCCTGAAAGTTACGGCGCAACCGTCCCTTCTCACATTCCGAGACCTCAAGTCTGCAAGAACTCAATCCTCAATCCCCGAAGTGGACGCCCCTAAACCCTAAATCCTAAACCCCAAACCCTAAACCCTCAACCCTAAACCCTAAACCCCCCTAAAGAACGGGGATGGGATGAGCCAGGCAGGTGCCGGTCCGAGCATCATGAGCATCAGCCGGCGGCCGTGGAAGCAGCTGCAAGTAGCTGTCTCAGCCAACCCCGAAACCCTAAACCCTAAACCCTAAGGTTTAGGGTTTAGGGTTTAGGGTTTAGGGTTTAGGGTTTAGGGTTTAGGGTTTTCATGAGCAGCATGAGCATCTTGGACATCATTGTGTGTGTGTCTGGGTGTGTGGGGGGAAGTTGTCCGCTGCATGCTTTGTTCAGGACATGCGGCGAACGTTCGGGCCTAATCCGCCCCCTGTTCAATCTTCGGGGCTGTCTACTTTCGACTACTTGCTTAAGAGCTACCCACAAAAAACACGTATAAGCTTATTTGGGAAATATAGGGATTCTACCCTAAACCCTAAACCCTAAACCCAATCCTAAACCCTAAACCCTAAACCCTAAACCCCCATATTCCTCCTTCTTTTGGCGGTTCTGAAGCAACTAGTAGCTTAGGTCGTGTGCTTCAACGCGGCGGTCATCGCCTGCAAATGTGGCAGCCAATGGCAGAGCGCGTTGAACCTCGGAGATGGTTTCAGGGGGGGGGGGGGGGGGTTAGGGTTTAGGGTTTAGGGCTTAGGGCTTAGGGCTTAGGGCTTAGGGCTTAGGGTTTAGGGTTTAGGGTTTAGGGTTTAGGGTTTAGGGCTAGTTCTCCATAGAGGATGAGGGAATGAGGTTCCTTCCATCTTTCTTGCAGCCAGCGGCCTCAATGCCGCCCGAAGCCCGAAAACAGCTCAGAACTCCTACAGCCCTCAACCCCCCAAAACCCTCAGCCCCCAAAGTCTCAAAACCCTAAGGCCCTAAACCCTAAACCCTAAACCCCTGGACCCTGAACCCTGGACCCTGGACCCACCCTGTGCCTCGACTTGCTGCCTTGTCTTTTTGTTTGGGCTTCGTGCCCCTCATCAGCCCTAAGCCCTAAGCCCGAAGCCCCTAATAGGGTTTAGGGTGAGCGAGCCTGCACACCACTTACAGTAGCCCAAAGCTACGAAAGCAGCCGTGCCTTCAATCGCGACGTTGCTGCTAGCTAGGAAACCTTCCAGAGGGTTTAGGGTTTAGGGCCGTTAAGTGCCCTTGCTGGCTCGAGTCCCTTGGTTACCTGAGACTGGCACGGGCCGCTGTAGTGAGCGGTGTTAACTGTTTTCGTCGATGGGCCTTGGGATAATGCTTGCGCGTGAGTTTGTGTGGGCTCGAGTCCCAGGGTTACCTGAGACTTGCGCGGGCCGCTGAAGTGAGCGGTGGAAACTGCGCTTGTCGATGGGCCTTGGGATGATGCATTCTAATCGTTGTGTTTAGGCTCCAGACCCGGGGTTACCTGAGATATGCACAGGCCGCTGTAGTGAGCGGTATAAACTGTGTCTATCAAAGGGCCTTGGGTTCATGCAGGGGATTTCAAGTTTTTTTTTTCTTTTTCTTTTTCTTTTTTTGTTTTCTCTCGTGATCACGTCACAGATGTTGCTGGTGGAGCTTGTCATGATTTTGTAAGTTTTGTTGGATTATTTTTGACACGCCCAGATGCTCACCACAACAGTGTGGCCATTGACATCTGGCTTTGGAAGCACTTGGGTTTTTTAGTTTTTCGCCTCTTGTTTCTCGCTAACCCATGGATTCTGTTCTGGAGAGTATCATGCAAGCTTCTGCTAGCATGCTGCAAGACGCAGGAAGTGACAAAGAACGAGTGAAAGTCATTCTTACCACTGCTGCTGCGGACATCCTAGAACATTTGGGCCTTTCAGAGCCTGCTACCAATGTCATTGACTATGTGCGGGACCTGAAGAAAGGTCTCCAGGTCGGGCGGATTCGCGCAGACTATGTGGTAAAGGCCGCGTGTGATGAGCTCAGGGCTCAATCCAAAAAGCGCAAGGCAGATAGCCTCTCACAGTCAACCTTGGATATCTTTCTGCGCTGCCAGAAGCCCCGTTGCGAAGAGCCTGCCGAGTCGCCACTCCTCAGTGACACCAGCTCTTGGGATGAGAGTTGCCCCAGTGCTCTGCCATGCGTAGAAGACAATATCGAGCAACTAGATGGTGAAGACGTTGGTGAGCACTATAGATCCAATGCAAAGAGCCTGTTGCTGAAAGTCCGCACATGTTTGCAGCAGGGTGACATTCACACTGCCCTTGCTTTGTTAGACAGCCTGTCTTCTCATGTGGGTTATGTTGGGGATGAGTTCATGGAATGTTTGCTGGTCACCATTTCTGACCACTCCTCTTGTTGTAAGCCAATGGCGCCCGCCTCAGAGCAAACCTGTTCTGAGCACACGAAGGGCCTCACGCAGCTCTTGATGGAGCGCCCAGCCCGGGAGAGGGAGTCTGTTGGAGCACGCCATGCCTGCGTAACTCCTAGCACATGTGCCAACTTGACCTCCCTATATGGAATTCCGGAGCATGATTTGCTGACCAGCAGAAAGTGCATTGCATCCAACACTTCTGCGGTTGACCCCGCTAGGTGGAAACGGTTGCTAAAGCCCACTGCAGCCGGTAGAACACCAAGCTTGCAGGAAATCCTTGGGCTGGCTGCCCGATTTCCCGAACCGCCAGCTAGACCTCTGTACTCCCATGTGTCTGAGGTCAAAAGATTGCTTGCGCAGGACGGTTTCACTACCATTGGAGTACTTATCAAGCCACAAGGACTCAGTGGATCGGTTGCGATTTACTTGAAGAGTGCCAAGGTCATCATACAAGGCAAGACTGTTGAGGCTAAGGCCGCTATGGAATCGCTCATCTCTAGGTGGACGGATCCTTGGCCTGTTGGAGGCCCGGCAGCAAAACGGATTGGGGCTGCCTGGGCAAACATCCCATCGCCGCAGGAGGCCCGCAGTTTACAGTGCCTTGGGTGAGGCTGAAGAAAGTTCAGTTTCATGTTTGTGCTATTGCATCGATGTATGCCTCTATGCGCCTCCGAGTGCGCGTAGCTCCAAATTTGTAATTGCCGTGCGCTGTGTGCTTGTATACAGTGACTTAACC